CCGGGAGAAAGAAGAGGCACCTGAATACCAGCTAAGTGCACTGTAAGTCCCTTTTCTTTCTTCCTTACACTGTGCGTCACTCTGACCTCTGCGCTGTGCGTCACTCTGACCTCTGCGCTGTGCGTCATTCTGACCTCCGCGCTGTGCGTCACTCTGACCTCTGCGCTGTGTTACTTTACTGACCTGGCGGAGTTAAGTCCGGGGCAGGGTAGGGGTTAGGTGGGGCAACTGGTGGCGAGTAACTTTTAAGGCCTGGCTAGTAGCTCAGGACTTGAAAATGGTATAGTGTAGATCAGGGCTCAAAATTTCATAAGGATTAAAGCCCATTAAAGCCCATCTCCAGGAAAACCGAAAAATGACCCTTCCAGTGGGGCTTCCCCTGCACTGCAAGCGTTAAGTGCTTGTTAATGTCTAGGGGACCGGAGCAAAGCACATTTACTTACCCGATTCCTGCTTCCCGACAGCCAGCACTCACCTCCCTCCAGCTGCTGGAATGTCCCTCGGCATCCTGCATTAAGCTGGCCATACACCTATAGATTTTCTGCAGGATTTCTATGGTCAGATGGAACAGATTCCTCCATCTACGCTAAACTGTGTGGATGGAGGAATCTCCCACTGGGCCAAGCTTCAGTATTTTACTAGGAGCCCCTCGCCAGCTCTCAAAATACCTGAACAATCTGATTGGATGCAGGCATTGTTCAGGTATTTTGACAGGCAGCGGGGCCGACTAGCAAATTACTGAAGCTTGGCCCAGTGGGAGATTCCTCCACCCACACAGCTTAGTGTAGATGGAGGAATCTGGAGATGTCACTTTCTCCATCTGACCATAGAAAATCTGCAGATAATCTATAGGTGTATAGCCAGCTTTAGACGCGATGATGTCAGGGTCAGCAGAGGCTGCAAAGACCGGTCAGTAGCTCTGAGGGAGATGGGGGATCAGGGGGGTCTCCTAGGAAAAAACAAGCACTTAACCCTTGCAGTGTAGGGTTAGCTCATTGCAAATGTAGTTTTTTTGGTTTGCCCGGCAATGGACTTTAATGTTAAGAGACACTAGGATTGAAATTAAACTGTAAGCATTAATATGCATGTTCTCCTTGTGCCTTCACTGGAATCTTCAGGGTGTTCCTGCTTCCCTCTTAATCAAAGAACATTAAAGAAGATTTTTTTTAAATGAACCCTTGAGGCGGCTACCACGAGTTTTGGTCTAGGAAGGAAGAAAACCCCCAAAAATATTTTATATTCACCTGATCTTAGGAGCCGGCTTGCTCTTAGACCAGTCGTTTAAGCCTCTCTACCCCTCCTCTGCAGTGCTAAGTTCTCAGAGTCATCACATTCTATACACTGTGTATAGGATGTGAGGACGCCGAGGGACATACCATCGCTGGAGGAGAGGAAGAAACAGGCAGGATGGAGAGCTGTGACAGCCAGCCAGCTCCAAGGGTTGGGTGAGTATAACTGATATTTTCCTCCCTATACCACAACAAGCACTTAACCCTTGCAGTATTGGGGTAGCCTCACTGAAAGGGTTAATAAACATTTTGCCCAGAGTTCTTCTTTAAACTGGCCCGTGTACGTGTGTAGTGGGAACAGAAGGCTGTACGCTCATACAGGGCAGAGGCTGATGTGACTGCTTCTATGTACGCTGTAAAGCCCTGCAAACTATGTCAAGGTTCTATAAATACAGAAAATAAAATCAACACAACAGATGGGCCTTACAACAAAGTGTATACATAAAAAGAGACAACACAAAGTAGTTCCAAATACCTTCTCCAGATTGTTAGAAACCAGTTGATCCCTCTAACAGTATAGGGGGGTGCCAATCATACCGGAGATAATCCAAGCATCACCACCTATATGCACACACAAATACCTCCAACTGGATTCCCCCATACACTAGTGTTCTTAGGTCAGGCTATACACGGCCCAAACTGGGAGATGTCCCAGACAGACCCAGCTATTTCCAGGTCAGACTTATCCTGGAGCAACTTATAGTTTCTGCCGAGGACAATCCGATTAGCGAATTAACTAGCAGAACTTTGTTTACGTTCCAGAATCTGACGCAAACTACATGTCTTTACATTTGACTGATCTGCTTTCATCATTACTATGGAGTGCAAATAGAATATCCCCCTATGTATTACAGTGCACGGAGTACAAATAGAATATCCCCCTATGTATTACAGTGCACGGAGTACAAATAGAATATCCCCCTATGTATTACAGTGCAAATAGAATATCCCCCTATGTATTACAGTGCACAGAGTGCAAATAGAATACCCCCCTATGTATTACAGTGCACAGAGTGCAAATAGAATATCCCCCTATGTATTACAATGCACAGAGTGCAAATAGAATATCCCCCTATGTATTACAGTGCACGGAGTGCAAATAGAATATCCCCCTATGTATTACAGTGCACGGAGTACAAATAGAATATCCCCCTATGTATTACAGTGCACGGAGTACAAATAGAATATCCCCCTATGTATTAAAGTGCAAATAGAATATCCCCCTATGTATTACAGTGCATGGAGTGCAAATAGAATATCCCCCTAGATATCCCCCCAAGACCAGGAATAAACAGACGAAGCTTTTATCTACCCTTGTTCTCACAAAACTGGTCATGATTACAAGAGCAACCCCCTCCTCAGAATGATTCTGCTTGAGCACAATTTATCCAATTAGACCGTACACAGAAGGAATTTATCAAAACTGGAGCAGACAGAATGTGGAGCATTTGTCCGTAGCAACCAATTAGCACCTTGCTTTAGTATGTTCAGTTAAGCTTTGAAAATGAAAGAGAGAAGCTGATTGGTTGCTATGGACAACTGTTCCACATTGTGTCTGCTCCAGTTTTGATAAATCCCTCCGCCCCTTTTAATTAATTCCCCTAAACGAGTATTAGAGCAGGAAAAGATCTGTGACAGACACACGCGACTGTTTTAAACCCAGTTTTAAAGTTGGTGTGTGTGTGAGGATTAGAATCTTTGTCATGTGCTTGTAGCCATTTGTGCCAAGTCTCCACGGAGGAGATTTATTGTATGTATCTATGGCAGGCATTGGTAGAGTGCTGTCATTGTACATATTATTCATTCACATCAGAATCTGCCTTCAAGGAGCTTACAATATAAGGTCCCATATCTCACAAATCACACGTACTAGGGCAAATGTAGACAGGAGCCAATTAACTTACCAGCATGTCTATGGAGTGTGGCTGGGAACTGTAGTACCCAGAAGAAACCCACACAAGCACAGGGAGAACATGCACACTCCATGCAGACAGTGTCAAGGCCAAACCTGGAACGTCAGTGGTGCTGAAGTGCGAACCACTGAGCCACTGTGCAGCAGGCTTCCACTAATTTCCTGACCAAGAAGTGATGGAAATCCTTCCAATGAAGACACTCATTGTAAATCTTGAGAAGAAATCTCTGCAGTGTAGCCATATAGACCCGATTCTAAGGCCTTGTTCACATCAAATGCAGAGCAGATCCGGTCAGGTTTCTGCACACGCAGTGCAGTGGGTTGTGCCGCGTTTTTGATGCGTTCCAGAGCAGGTAAAATAGGGCTTGCCGCAATTTTTTCACCTGCTCTCGATCTGGTCTGAATCTGCACGCTGCGATGTGAACTGGAGGTCAAAATACCATAGGAATACATTGGACGCAGTTTTGATCCGGTCTGCACCTGCTCTGGTCTGGATCTGCTCCGCGCTTGATGTGAACAAGGCCTAATCCTACCCCGCTTTATCCAAAACTGGATTTAACTTACCTGACTGTCATCAGGTAATATTTTTTTCACGAATTTCACGAATAAAACAAGCACATAGTGTATGCAGAACGTTACCCTAATCGCCACGTATAATCCCCTATAAAGCAACCACAAACAGGATTTAAAGGATGGTTGCCATAACCCTCCAAAGACGAGACAACTTAAAACGAGAAGTACTGGGAGAGTAGATCCATGAACCCATCGCACTCCTGACCGCCTGTCTCCATAAGCGAAGAAGTGGGTGCTGCGGTGGTCGACGGATGGCAACCGTCAGTACAAAGCTATGACATGTGATAGCTTGCGGAAGGGGATCCTGCGTGACCCCGAAACGGTTGTCGCAATTTTGTGACATGTCGTTCTTCCTTCAATAAATAAGACTTTTCTACTTTATGCTTACTGGATTGCCGGTGTCCCTGCTTTGTACTGGGAGAGTAAGCACATACTCTTGCCAATACTTAAAGCTGCCATGTGACACTGCAGTTGTCACACGACGGCTCTATAGAGCGAGAGCTGAGCGATCACATACCGCTGATCACTTAGCTCATGGCTTCTCCCTGCAGAGAGTGGTAACTGTCAGCACTACCCCAGCAGGTATTCCCCCCTCCCCTCTCCGTTCCTCAAGTGCTAACTTGCGGGTCAGATTGGGAAGGGGGTGGGCACAGCTGGATCTGGCTCTAGAGAGGCAGAGTCACCTGTCAATCAGGCAGTGAGGTGGATCCCAACAATATTGCCAGGATCTTTCCTGGCTGCAGCGCGGCTCTGAACTGTGGGCCACAGGAGTACAGAAGTAAATGTCCTCCTCAGACCTCAAAAGAGGAAAAAAATGTTGGACTTTAATTCTCTTTATGTACAGTGCAGAGACCCTCACTTTTTACACTGTTATATTTTGAAGCGATCCACATCAATGGTAGCAGGTTTTCAGAGTCACTGAGTGATCAGAAATACGTACCGTCGCCTCTAGCGCCCATGGAAGTCCTCCCCTTTGTATCCACGGATGTATTTCTCCCAATTCCTTTCTCTGATCCTCTGTAAAGCGTGGCTGATGTTTCTGCATTGATTTCAGCTTATCTCTATCCTCTCGCAGGACGGAATCCATGTCACTAAAAAACAAAGCACACCATATATACATGGAGGGCAACATACATACATACAAGAAGCCTGTTGGCCTGACTTGCCACAGATAAACTCACACTGCTATAACTTTCAAATGAATATACATGTACAGAATGGACACTGCTCAATGTGTGTGTGATGGGCGTCTAAAGGGTTTATTCAGCATTTGGCTGGAAAGTGACATGGGATCAATTCAGATGCCTAACACCCAGAACTCCCCAACCCTGATACACCTGTCTATCTTTCAATATAAGAGAATCAGGAGGGAGTAAAACAAGCACTATGTAAACTAAAGGCAAAATGTATTTTAAAAAGGTATAGCAGTCTTCTGAGTTTGGAATATAAATGTATTGGGGGGATGATGTAGAATGAAAACTACATGAAGAAAGATAAAGTGTGGAGTGTATAATCTGATCTGGGATTTATTATCCAGCTATAGAACAATTAGTAGATCAGATAGGTCCTTAGAAACCTTAAAGGAATGCGTGACAATGTTCACTCCGAAGTCTGTTTATTTAGGTTCTCTGCTTCAGTCAGAAAACACCCAGCGATGTACAGAAATGTACTAATAAACGGCTGCAAGATTGTTCTGTACACCGAGTACTAAACCCGAGAACCTACAGGAGTCATGGTCTTCTTGTGCTCCATTAGTGCTTCTTATATTTACAACCAGAAATCAGTTTCAGGACCTGGTATCAATCATTTACATGGACTGTGCACTCAACACTGAGATTTTTACCAACAGGTCAAATCACCCCCCAATTCGATGTCTCTCTCACATAAACCTCTCATTACAGAGAACGTATTAGGCAAGTGAGAATCCTTTAGCTCTGTAATGTCATGGTGCAGCAAATGGGTATGTGCAGAGATTTTGCTGCAGGAGTCAGTTTCTTATAGTTCTGAATGACTATCTAGTGATTGTGATAGACACTAAAATATTGATTTGGTCAAACGTACGTTTTAGCATAAATACTGCATGGCCTGCATGGGATCTGCAAACACTCACCGCAGTGGGATTTGGTAACTCATCACGACTTTCTCATCTGCATTTGCCATTAGCAGCCACATGGGGTCTTGCAGGACATACTTCATAACAGACTCCCCAGTTGATGGTGTTGACCTCCTCCCTTTCTGATTGTTCTCTGAGGAATCCACACTGCCAAAGTACTTACTGCTGTGGCTTGTCTGACTGCTCCCTGCAAACGGACAAAAAGTATGATTGTCACAATGGAAACCTACAAACATGATCAGGTAAACCTAAAGAACTGTAACAGAAGCAGAAGTGCAACCCACCCGTGTGACTACCAGATGTGCCATTTCCATGAGATCCAGAAGTTAGAGACATGGCAGAAGAAGCAGAAAACGTTGCAGAGGAAGCGTCTTCCTGCAGCAATATATCCATGAAGTCACTGCTGGTGGACAAAGCATCACTGTTGTGAACATCAGCAGGAGATCTTGATTGCTGAATACATGGAAGGATAACAGAAGAGAGATACACATTATACAACCTTGTATTCCACATCTGTTATAGGTAGTATATAATACATAACAGGAACAAGTACCAGTTCAGGATCTTCACGGGTCTGAGGCATGAATATACTGTTCACAGCACCACCTGTGCCTCGCTCTGACCGGTCAGTCTTCTGGGACTCTTCTAGCTGCAACAGATTTAGCTGTAGGGGTGAGCTGCACCGAGACTGGAACAGAGGAGGAGACTGAGGATCTCGTGGAGTGGAGGAGCGGGAGAAACCTTCCCTCATCTTGGGTTCGTTTGGAGGAACTGGGTATGAGAATGGCTGCACAGAACAAGGGCCATGCACAGACTGAGGAGCAGAGGGTGGTTGAGGAACAGGGAAAATATGTGGTGCTGGTGGATATACTGGTGGTGGAACAGGGAAGGTAGGCTGTAGAACGGGGAATGTATTTGAAGCAGTCATTGTTGGTTGTGGAGTAAACAATGACAGCTGTGCAGGGAATGGATGCTGGGGTGCTACTCCAGGATAAACAGTGGGTGCCATGCCAGGCGGGTACATATAGTTAGGCAGGACAAGAGCGACCATGGGGGAAAGCAATGGAGTAGGAAAAGGCTGTATAGGGATAGTGGTGGAAGGGGCACCAGGAATGCTTTCATTTGGCACTGAGATTTGGGGAGGAGGGAAAACAGGCATGGGATAAGCAGGCAACATAGGATACGGCAGGGGATGATAGCTGGCATGTGAGGTATCAGACTGTGACCAAGCTGTGGTATTGAGCCCATGAAGAGGAGGGCGATGGGCTTCAGGGACACCGGAGCTGCTGCTGTCCCATGATTCCGGTCGTACACGTTTTACTTTAGCCTTCCGTGCCTTCCCACTCCTGCGGACGGCTGTATCATTCCCTGGAGGAACATGGGATCGCAAGGCTGTTGAGTACAAAAGTTCTGTTACTGCTACAATCTGAACTTGTACAATAGTCATTTTGACTGTAAGGCCTCATTCACACTGGCATTGTCAAAGCTGCGTTTATACACAGAGGGCCCATTCACATCATGCCCGGATCAGATGCGGTACGTTACATTTTTCTTCTGCACCAAAAATGCATCCCAATGCATTTGTATGTGATTCTTGGGCTCTGTTCACACCAGTCCAGTACGTTCCAGCGCAGGAAAAAAAAAATGCTGCAGGTGAACATTTTTTCTGCACTGGAACGCAACAGAAGCTATGACACGGAGCAGGAAGTGACCTCAGAGATTAATCTGCATAATGACATTACTACCCTCCCCCTCCCCCCCCCAAAAAAAAAACCCTGCACTGGACCGAATCACAAAGTCACCGCGTTTGCAAAAACGTGTGCAGATCTGGCCCGGACATGGTGAGACGGGACCCTTAGAGGACATTTCTAAATGCATACAAAAGCATGTAATAATTTTTCAATGGAACATTTCCCTGTGTTTAGGCGCAGGCAGTTTAGCTGAGTTTAGAGAAAACAGAACTCCGATTCCAGGATCCAATTAAAACGTATGCGGCTAAACACAACGCACCTAGATGCAGCTAAGCCTACTTTGAAGCAGGAACATCTAAATGCATGAAAAAGTGACCAGGAGTGCATACAGGTTATTTATACTTCCCAGATAACTCCTTTTCTAAACGCAGAAGTGCAAGTGTAAATTGGGCCTTCATGTCTACTATGGTATTTTGGGTGGATCAGTTTTCACTGGTGTGTGTACTATGCCACACAAAAAAAGCAAGTATGAGTCCATCTGTTCAGCCAGTCCTTTGGTTTACACTAATGCCACAAGGCACACCCAGGAAGACTACTACTGCCTAGTTCAGCTCTACTGTGTCCTGAGTAATGTTGATGCCTATTGTACAGAAGTAATTATGTTGATTCAGTGTGTAAAAGGTGGTCTGGAGGTAGAGATGCGACACAGATGTGACACAGGGAGCTGCAGGGTTGAGCCAGGTAATAAAGTTGTCATCTGCCTGGCTGTGTAGTGTGGTAGAGATATTTGAAAACATTTGAATACACAACTGACTAAACAGAATGACAGTTAAACGCCCCCTTCCCTCCCATTTACTTCTGCAAGCTTCTTAAAAATGGCTGCTTTTCATTACTGTCCAGAGAGCCTCTTGTGTTCATCTATTCTCATAAATCACTAAGCAAACTTACCTCCGAGAACAAAGGGCTTCATTCATCTGCCAGTACACAATCTTACAGAAGCTTGTTTGAACCCTGAATATCATAATGAAAGCTTAGTACATTTGTAAGCTCTTGTTATTTCTTTATGGCAAAGTTCTATGCAGCCCACAGGTTGCAGGCAATGCTTGTAAGGGATGTGTGTAATCACACATATAAAGGCAGCACTCACCTCCTGGACGGTCATGCATGTAGCTATCACATCTAGTCTGGAAGGCACTCAGCTTCTTGCTATCCATGAAGCCACTGAGAAAGTCGTTCTCTTCTCTCTGTGTGTGAGCCACCAGCACCTCCTTTGTTAGTCCCAGCGGTTTGTATGGCTCTTTCTCTGTGTTAGCTGGTGCAGGTGGCAGAACCTCCAAATGTGATGGCCCATCCTCTAATTCTAAGAAAGAGAAAAAAATAGTCATCATATTGGTTCATCTAAGCAACAAGCAGAGCAAGCATACGTAAAGAGCAAATATGGCTCTCCCAAAAGACATAACTACAAAATATACACGGATCAAATTAAAAATAAAAACATTAAGCGACATTTACACCAGGTTCATTCATCTCGTATCTAAATCTAAGAAATATTACAATGACCATAACTTTACTTTTATTAACTGTAGATAAAACCTAAAAAGTTGACTTAGCTCACATTGGGGGTTCCAAAATATCCAGACATACAATGCAACATCCTACATATCATTAGTACATTGATGGTAACAAGCACATGTAGAATTCTTTAAACAGCATGTACCTGTCTCTGGTTGCAGCTTCTTGTCCCCCACATGTACGATTGTGCTGCTGTAGCTGCAGTGACTGGTCAGGGATGCCACACTCTCCGCCTTGGCACCCATAGAAAGCTGTGTAATGGCAGCACCAGAAACAGGCAGGGAAGTGAGGGACGGATGTGGTAAAGAACCTGGAACAGTCTGGCAGTTGTTGGTGATGGCAGGTCCAGGGAGAGATGGCTGCAGGCAGCGAGCAGAGCTTGTCACAGTTTTGGGGTTAACCACAGGACCTGCAGCAGAATCTGGCAAAGACAAGGAGATTCAGGAACTGTCAATGGGACGATGCTGGCAACATTTGCGCCATAACTGGCTTTTTATTTAAACAAAAACAATGACAAATAATAAACGCTGTATTTCACAGCCTTAATTCTCATTGCATTTTAGATTAATGACTGCAAGAGAGATGACTCAGTCAAGAACTGTAAGGCACCATCAGGCAAATCAATTAAAATACACAGATATTTGCATCAATATTTTCAGTGCAGACACTGGAACATTAGGCCAAGCCATTCCCTATTTATACCACAGTCTAAAAGGCGCAAGCCAGAGTAGCTTCCCTGTCCTACTGCTTACCTCCCTGGTCTTGCATGCTGCCGGATGACACAAATTTATTTCCGTCAGAGGATAGAACGCTGCAGCTTTCCAGGTATCTAAAAACCATTGAAAAGAAAGACAAAAATGCACATCACTATTCACATCTACGTTTCTTCTCTTACCTGACATGAACAGCAGGAACCTGAACATACATGTCACCCTATTACACAGATAGGATGACTCAGGCAGCTTGACCGCTTAAAAAGAGATATATGTATCTCACTCTCTCTCTCTCCATTGGAGACATACATACATATATATACACACACACAAACACACACCTTAAAATAACATGGATTTAATACAGCTTAAAACATACATGTTAACCTGTCATTTTCACTTCCCTTGATTACCATCATAGTAAAAACAAAAAAATTCAGATTAGAAATGGGAGCAGCAGCAATGTGAGCAGATCGGGGCTCTACTACATTACACATTGCTGTCCATCTAAAACTGAGAGCTTAGTGACAGGAGGAGAGGCTATAATGAGAGAAGGGATGACCTTTTTCTCGCTCCAGAGATTAGCTTCAACAAAAGGAATTATAAAATAACTGATTCTTAGTTCTAAAACTGAAATTGTTTAGACATTAAAAACAAAAATATAAAAAGAACAAATGTAGAATATTACTGAATGTTTTGTCAGAGTGCTCTAAGGTGATGCCGAACATCTCTGATAGAAATTACTTGCTGTTGTGTTCAAGCCACAGATTAAATCTCACCTAATGACACTGTCCAGGCAACTGATCTGCTGGTAAGAGTAGGGAGGCTGTTTTGCTGGTATTGGGTCACCCTGTAGAGGGCAGGCAGCCATTCCCGAGCCCTCGCTATAGACATCTTTATTGCAACTGTTCGCTTTATCCGTGACACCTATTAGTGAGATGCTGCAGTTAGTTGTAAGCAGTCGATTAATCTTAATAGTCACAACATTCTCATTAGTATTTACATTAACAGCTTCTGATTCTCCTATTAGGGTTTCTTAGAAACATCATGATGTAACACTTTGAGGGTTTGTTCACACCAAATTCGGACCATAGTTGCATGAGCTTCTGCATATGCAATTTGCCGCGTTTGCATGCGTTTTTGTGCATTCCAGAGCAGAAACAAATAGGGCATGCTGCATTTTTTTCCACATGCTCTGGAACCGAATGCTCTGGTCTGAACTAGAGCCCAAAATACCATTGGATGCATTTTTTTATGCGTTCTGTAACTGCTCCGCTTGTGCTCCACACTTGGTGTAAACAAGCCCTGAAATAAAAGGTTCTTCATGTACAGTTTCCATAAATCTCAAATATCTCTATTATCCATTGTGGGACATAGCTTGATGATAAGCAACCTAGAGAGGGTCCAAAAGCAAAAGCAGTCAAAACCGAGGGACAGGTACACCCAAACAAAAATAGGTCAATCAACCCAACATTAAAAGTAAAACAAAAAAAGAGAAACCAAGGGCATTAAATAACGGGTGCAGAACCTTTTGATCGAAACTTAGCATCTGCAGAAGCAGGCATATTGACCTTGTAAAACATAGAAAAGGTATGTGCAGAAGACCAGGCCGCCCTATAAGTCTGCAACACCGAGACCTGGTGATGAAAAGCCCAAGAAGCACTCCATGCCCTTGTAACGCTGGCAAGGTGTAGGGTGGGAAGGGTTAAAACCTCAAGGGGGCTGGCCTTCATCTTCTATGAGCCTTGTGTCCATTTCTCCTGTAGGTAGCTGTATAACCACCTTGGCTGCTGAATATCATCAAGCTGTGTCCCTCAATGGACGACAGAGAAATCATCTTTTCCATATCCTATCTCCACCTTATACAGTGGGCCAGAAGAGTAAATTACACGCCATGTGTACGACTCTGTTTTATTGCATTATTCAGAACAGTCCATGTAAAATGCAAATGCCGATATCCTTGCTGTGGTTAAAAAACAGTCAAAAAGGCCTCACATACTTGTTTCAGGGGTGATCTTCAGATTCGGGTGATCTTTTATTTCTAGGCTGGTAGATCCCTGCTGTCCCTTTAGTCCGTGCACAGGGGAATTGCCCTGCAAAACACAGAAGAGTATTATATGCAGAAAAGAATCTGTATACTAGCATCAGTACCAGATACATCCAAACTAATATTTGCTGGTGATTTGGGCATGAGAGGAGGGCAATATCAGGAAGCGATGCTGTGTCCGATCAAGGTCTAGGGTATGGTTGGGAATGGGTGCAGTGCCAGCTGCTGACTTTAGGACCAGGGGTAACAGGAGCTTGTGATTTTTGCCCATATGTTAAGTGTAGTAGTATTGAATGGCCTGATTATGTTCGTAGGTGTACATGTAGGTGGAAGGCAATGTAGTTTGGCAACTTATGGTAAACCTGTGCTTTGCCCATGCATTGCAAAGCAAAAGATTCACTTGAACACTGGAGGAACCAGCAGCTTATACTTCCCTTCATTCCACCATCATCAGCCATCGGAAGCAAAAGGAGGATGCCCTGTACAAGCTCCAGCTCATGAGTAGGAGCTCAGACAGCGGTGTATACACTTCCCTCACCCCATGTGACAGCATTGGTGCTTGGTTGTTCAAGAATGCTCACATAGAAGGTAAGGTAGTGAGTCACGTTACCCCATTATCTGAAAGTAATGGGCATTATTCTTCACTTCCAGTGACCCAACGAGAAGAAGGATTAGAAACATTATAATCTGCTGGTGGACTACACAGGTTCACTTTCAGGTCATGAGGGCAAGGAACAATTAAACTGGCAGTCCAAGCCACTCGCCCTCCTGTTCAGCTCTGTTTAAGACAACATCAGAAGCTTTATAACAACTTGATGGCGTTTTCTGGCAAGAGCAAACACACAGCACTTTATACACAATCTTGTGTGTCATATATGCACAGCCTTATACAGACCATTGTAAGAGCAATAAGTCAATAAGGCTTCTTCAATAAACAGTGCAAAGAACACAGCACAAACTGCAGTGTTCAGAGAAATCAATTAGAATCCACTGCGTACCAGTATGAATTCAGATCAGTGAATTATGGTTGGTTGCTCTGTGTTACTACACTTAGCTCACTGCAGTGTTTATTGAACAAGTCTACATCAATTTACACACCCAGACTGCGTATGCTGTATGATCCAGGCACATGTCACATTCTGGAGCGAATCAAATCGGACAGAAGACAATGAGTCAGACACTGCATCATTCAATTCAAAATATCACATATGTCCCTTGGTGACGCACACAGCCTGTACCATACCTACAAAAAAGATAGGCATACTTCAAGAACTACGCACATTCACACAAGTGAGCTTCTCATACAGGGTCTGAAATATGCTGCATGCTGTTCCCAGGATTAGAGCCCATGATTCCCTCTGTGCCCGCACAAGGGGAGTGGGAGGACAGCAAGAGTTGGGGGAAGCACAAGGAGGAGGAATGCTCAGGCACTACTGTGGAAATGAGCCTATCAGCATGCAGTCCGATGCAATGCATGATTTTTGTATATAGTAACACCAGAAAGAGGGGCAGGTTGATTGCATCAATTTGCATTCAGCCAGTTTCTGCTGTGTGGTAAGAATTAAGTAGAGGCTCGCCAGAAGTAGGAAATGACTGAAATGTTTATATATTACATGACAAGAATAACAAAGAGAAATGATAGCTTAGGGGAAGAAAATAAGATGTAAAAGGGGAGAGCTGCATAACGGAAACATAAAAAAAGAAAAGAAAGAAAAGAGCAATAGGCTATGGTGGGAAGGCAAGTGCTGAGCAAGGAAAACAGAAAACAAATAGCTTTGGACCGTGAAAGCTGAATGTTTACAGCCAACTTCACATCACACATCATTTAGCCTAATCATTTTACTAACCTGTTTCTCCTTTACATCCTCATTAAGGTTCCCATTGCTGTCACTGGACGAGGATCCACTCATTGGGTTTTCATGCGAACCATGGCTGCCCAAACTTCCGTATCCACTGGAGCCACTGTTATGGACAGGCTGAATGGGACAATGCATTGATAAACTGTCAATATACAGAGTGTAAGGCCTATTTACCCCTTTAATAATAACATTTAAATTGCAAGCTCTTCAAATGCTAGACTCATACAATTTTTTTTTAATTACAAAAAGGCGACTTCTAGCTACACCGGTTCAAATCAAACTCAGATGCAACCTCCAATGATAACTTTTGTTACAGAAAACATATCAATAATACAGAACTGTCTATTAAGAATTGAACAAAATGCTGGAATAAAAAGCATTTAGATCTGTTTGGGTTATGTCAGCCAATTATTAGACCAATTACAGCGCACTTAAAACAAATGAATGCAATACAACTATAGGTCCAAATGCTAGTTATAATAAACAGTACAAGATTAATAATCTGTATTGAAATGATATATGCACTATATACACATATATGTTATTGTGAATGTTTACCTAAAGTAATTTTGGCATGACTTCCACAGGTTTTTGTCATTCTATGCCATATTTTTACACCTGTATTTCATATGGAGATACATAAAATGTCCCTCTGGAGCAGAACAATCAGAATCAATGCTGAATAACTACTGAGAAAATCAAGTACAGGATAAAACAAACTTAGTATATTGCTAATAATGGGTGGCCGCACTCCTGATTATTTTAAATTCGATGAAAGAGAAGTCAAAATTGACTTCTCTTTCATACATGACAAAAGTCGATATATCAATGAGCTACCCAAATGGGTATATAATGAATAAAATAGCATTAAAGCAATTTTATTCAGCGTAACATGGATTACCTGCATAAGAAGCTGATGTATTTGCTCTGTGAGCTCTTGAATTCCATGTTGCGGTGACTGGTCTTCTAAGTGTGGTGGTGCAGTAAAAATGTCTTCAATAACAGGACCCCTAATAATGACAAAGATCGGCACCATACGTGTATTAAACAGTTATTGCTTTATCACTGGAGCATTCAGTTACAAGCATATAGTTAAGGGATTTCCCCAAATGTTAAGTTAACGTAGTTTATGATGGCTATGTGCAACCAGAGGCCTTCCAATAGCTGGGGCACAACTGGTCTCCAGTGCACACCACAATTTGCCATACCATCGAGTAGTCTCTTTTACTATCAAGTTAACATTAGGAATAGCAAAGTGGGCTGGCTGTTGGTAGCCAATAGCCTTTCCAGATCATGCAGAATCCTTAATGTATGAAAGCACAGGCTGTACTCACATCCTGACTTTGTGCCTGCCAATGATGAAAGATACTTTTCTACTCCAGGGGTTGATAAAACTGGACCAGCTGGTATCGACTGTGATATATTCCCCATTGCGGGTACAGAATCGTATTGGGGAGAAGTCAAAGGGCTGTCCTCCACACTGCAGAACTAGAAAAGAAAAAAGAATATCCGTAAAATGTAACTGTGGGCATAAACTACAATAATATACTACATCAGTGTGACATATCTTTATGTTGGCTCTCTCTCTCTCTTTTAATATACCTGTTCATACTACCAGAAAAGCAGCTGCCATGCCACTTCCATTGCTGGTATGACAGTGCTGACACAACATTAATAAAATTGCATTTAGAGTAGTCACCTTGCACCTGCAGGGGATTAACTAATGGACATTGCACGATCATTCAACCAGGCCATGGTACATTTGAACAATACAAATTTCATAGACATTCACCAGAAGATGGTCAATACATATGCGTTTGCGCACTGCTTCTGAAGAATGTATTTGAGTTTCCATAGAAAATATCCTGATACTAGACCAACATTTCCTAAAACCATTACCTGTAATCACTGAGGCTGTAAACCTCATAAATGGTAGAAAGGAGCAACATAATATATACGTACTCTTCTTGTGTACAGCCAACATGAGTGGACGGTCACTGGGATGCAGATGTAGAATGATGGGACTTCCAATCAGATCCTGGGGCAGGTAACCCAACAATGGAACAGCCCTGCAAATACCAAAACAACATTTATAGTCCCATGAGTACAGAAGGCAAGTTGAACAATATGTAGGCTGTGGATTGTGGTCTTCTCACCTTTCATCTACATCCTGGAACAGGCAGCTTGGGGTGTGTGTGGTCGTGAAAATGCGTTTATCTGCAGGGATCCGAGGAGCTAAAACAAAAAACAACACAATTTCCTTATCTTCAACAACATGCCCTACTGACAGATCTCTTCTGCATCTATAGCCAAGATGGATGTCAGCTGCGTTACTAGTGGAGATTACAAAAAGCAGTAACCTTAGGGTCTATGTTTTAACATATTCAGTCTACAAGGCCCGGGCCAGCTTACAAAAAAAAAAACCAAGAAGTAATTACAAGCCTCTCTCTGCATGTCAATGGATAACACTATCATGGGTTGTTTTCCCAGGTTGTGGATTTGCAAACATCTTTCTCAGATCAAGCAGAAAACAGTGTGATAGAGAAGCCTTGCTGCTCAAGATGTACCAGAGATGAGAGGAAAATCTACTCCTGACTGAGCAATAACCAGATGGAAATATAAAAAAACATGTCTACTAATGTGATACATGGAGACCACCCCTGCTCTAATTACACTCTTAAGCTTTTCCTGAGAGAGAGGAGTACAGATCAATTATTACGAAGGATTACACAGCAAATAGAACCCGTAAGCTACTAAAAGTAGGGCAAAGATCAGAATGCAGCATCTTTCATCGAATTTCTGTAATGTAATCACTATCCATGAAACCAGTCATTAGTAACGGGTAATAGCAGCTATATGTACCTTCATATCCTGAGTGCACTCGTTCTGCAAACAGTACGCAGCACAGCTGCTCTGCAGTGCCCTCATCGGCCTCTGTCTGTATACGGATCATGTATGGGGTAAGGCGGAAGGGATGGTAAGATACTTCCCGCCGAGACTGCTGTCCACAACTGAGGAGAAAAGAAGAACGGTCAGAATGCTACTGTATGTATAGGAGGCAAGTACTAAAGCTAAGACCACACTGGGATATGAAACTGCCCATCTCCTTAATGTCAGTGTGTGCCAGGGCATAACAGGGGGTTTTAGTCACAGATTTTTTTTTCCTGTAACTGACTATGTAAGAAATGCCAATGTTTGGAGGGACTGAATGGTAACTACCTTCACATAATCCCACTGACCAACCCCTTGTGCTGCACTGGTGATGGTTCTGCCAATATGCTCAGCATACCTTAGAGCTCCTAGTTACCACTTTGCTGAGGATGCCTCTGCAGCTGTGTCCCTCTACCGTTGCTAGATATAAAGTTATCAGCAGGGCACATCTGTGCACAGTGACCTAATAGAGCAATGCACGCACCAATATTGAGGAATGTGCACGTTTAGCCTTTTTTTTAACCCCTGCCGATAGCTACGACACTGACAGGGGTCAATGCCCACACACACTGCTGCCCACCGCTCTAGAAGCAAGGTAGAATGAATTGATAGCGATGGTTGTTGTAGAGAGGGAGAAGGAGGTTTAGGGGTAAAAACCATAGAGCTTGGAGATGAGCTTTATAGATGTTGCTGAAACTGAGCAGAACAGCCCTGAGCTGAAGCCATCATTTCTGGAGCCGGGCTATGCGATGTGGTATCTAAAGCCACTTGGAGATGACACTGAGATACCAAATAGAGCACAACCAATCAAACTGCAAATACATACTGTATAGGCCACTGTATACTGACAGCGCATGATAATCTTTGTAACTGTAATTTTTAAACACATAGTCGGCACAAGCAAGGGGAAAAAAAATAATTAGCCGCCGCTCTGGTGCATTTTTACTGTGTAGCAGGAAAAGTTACTGCAAATTACAAACCATTTTCTTCTAATTTCCTGCTGCAGATGTAATGAAGAGAACTTCATTATAGCTCCAAACACCATAATTTTCAGGCATGCAATTACTTTTACATATGCCAGTAAATTCGAGATGGAAAGAGAGCCTGACCAGAAGGGAACACCGGGTAAAATTTTTCTTAACCCTTGCAGTGCGCGGGGTAGTCCCAATGCAAGGGTTAAGTGCTAATTTTTGTCTAGGTTCAAAAATAAAGTTCTATTCCCTGGCAGGGCCATGGAGATCCTGTAATACACTTCCCTGTGCTCAGTACAGTGGCCATGATGTCACTGCCCCTCGTCCAATTAGAGAACACCTTGTATTACAGCCAAGGAAGGTGCCATCTTTATTTGGATAGCAGTTGCATGCATACAGCTATGACACCAGCCATTTGAAGGCTTGAAAGTCAGGTTGAGAGCTGAAATAAGCGCACTGGCAACCTTGACAGTTGGCGGGCCTTGAAAGTAAGTGTTTATAGGGACAGTTCAATTGGTGGATCAAGTTCCGCTTTACCTATGGCACTAAAAATAATATAGTACGGTCATCTCACCTGATCCGGCAGTAAAATGATTTTTCTTCCAACCCATCAAGATATGCTGAATCTGTAAAAAGAAGAAAAGGGAAGAAAAGGGTTACTACTGCCATTTCATACTACATTTCATAGTATTAACTACATCTGAATCTAAACAAGTAAACAGAGAAACGTCTCCCCCCACAATATGCATGAGGTGTATGAGTGTGTATATACATAGACTATAATGCCCATACGTTTGTGTACACCTGACCAATCCACCCATATGAGCTTGCTAGAAGGCCTTTTTCCTGTTACAACATGACTGTGCCCCTGTACAAAAACACCAAAGTCTATAGAGACAAGGTTACCCTATTAAAACAGTTTTGAGATGAATTAAAATGCCAAATTGCAAGCTGGGTCTTCCCATCAACATCAGGACCTCACAAATGTTCTTTTGGATGAATGGGCACAAACCCCGCAGACACCCTCCAAATTCTTGTGGAAAGCTTTCCAAGTAGAGTGGAGACTCAGATGCAAAAAGTGGGCATTTAGAAATGAATGCCCAAAGTTTTGGAATGTCCAACAAGCTCATATAAGTGTGACTGTCAGGTGAAGACAAACATATGTCAGTGCAATGTATGTATCAACCAGTACTAACAGAGATTTTCTGGTTTACTTTTCCCATCATGGACCTCAACATCAGATGGAAGTCTTGCAACCAAGTCTATCAAATGAGTTTATTTTGTAAGTAAAGAGAAGTGGTTCAGTAAATTGTACGGTTTGTATTTCACTATTATTCCGTGAAAAAGTGAGCTGTAATGGAATATTTGTTTGAGCCACAGCACTTCTCATTGGCCAGCATGATCATGTGACCGAGATGACCAATCACCGCTCTCTATTTGCAGGCATTATGCCTAATACGAACTACGGGGCTGGAGTGCGCTGTATGGTGTATGGACTATAAACGTATGAACAGTGGGGGCAGAGATAGGTGGCAGAGCTGTGTGGGTAAGTTCATCTTCTCACATTTTGTAAGAAAGTGGACTTACCCTTTAACAGTATACAGGCGATTGTCCATGGTTTATACAGACGCTATAGATGTTGGAAAAACTCTGCACTAGTAAAAATGAGCACCCGACCAGTAAGCAGCATCCCTTACCCACACCATTGCAGATACTCCATGATGGCAGCCTGTACGGATTAGTGGAGCTGTAGAACACGCTGACATCCTGTGGGGCCAGGAGCTCCACAAAGCGAACATGGGAGAACAGATCTTTATTACAGCACAGCACAAGTGAGGCCTGCTCCGAAATATAGAGGATCCTTCCACTTACTACGGACACCGCTACTGCAAATACATCCTGTATATGAGCACAATAAACATAAAATATTACCACAGTATTTATCTACATCAAGGCCAATAGTTGTAGTCTGTGAGAAATATGTATGATTGACCAACAGCTACAAAGACAAAGACAGAGAAGTGATCACAAACACAGAACTGAAACGGCGAGAAAAATGTTTTGCTTTGGATAAATAAAAAGTTGATGCAGAAAATGTAACATTAAAGTGGACCTTTACCCCCTTTGGCTAAAAATCACATAAGCATACAGTTCTGCATGCTGATATGAAATCATCTTGCATTCATTAACTAGCAAACATATTTGAATTTTCCTTACAATCCCCCCCGCCCAATTTCCTGGTCCACTTGGCACAAATGATGTATTTATGCCCAAGCATTGCATTCTGGGAAGATTACATCAGTAGAGCATTGCTGGGAAAGATCTCAGGGAAAGGCATTTTCCTCCCCTGAGATGATATGCATGGTCACATGTGCCAGAGTTCCAGGAAGTAAAGGGAGATCTAGTAATCTGCCCTTAGTTAAAATAGCCACTGTAGGAAGACTGGGGAGGAAAGGAAAAAGAAGGTATGCAAAGAATACAAAGCCGGCAATTATGTAGAAGTATGTGTTTGTAGATTGTCATTACTAAACATTTCTAAAATGTGTCTTTGTTGTTATTTTGAAGATATGGGTAAAGTTCCTCTATAATAAGCCACTTCTAACTGCATGGGTGCAGACCATGATGGTGACAAAGAGCTGAGCTTGTGCCGAGCTATTATCCCATTTAAGTTCGCTACGAACCCTGCTCTTCATCTTTGACTATACACTGCCCTTTGTGTAAAGCTACCGTGGCATCTTTCATTTACCCATAAATCAGCTCCTGTAAAAGGCAGACCTTATGAGAAGGGACCTTTATGCAAGTACTGAACTACTGCATGCAATATATGATATACTCAGGCCGCACGGTGAGATTTACAAATAAAAGTTACAGTCAAGTTAACTGCCACATACTGATGGAGCTTAGTTTGGTCTGGGCATCCAAGCTTCAATAACCTCTGATCACAAGGTAGTTAAGCAAGACCTTGTGATGTCAACACAATATCTTAAATCATATGAAATGTGATATTTTTCCTTACAATATATAGCCCCATACTATCATTTTCTATCTAACCATGAACAACAAGGCATTAGTATTAGTGTTTTACAGATCAAGATTTATTAAACACATCAAGGGCTCTTTGAAAGTTGAGACAGGCCACCAGACTACGGTTTCTTACCAAATTGTTCTTTGTATACTCGGAGGTAATATTTGCAATCTCCTCCACTGTGTAGCATGAGAGATCCTGACCACATGGTTTAAGATCATTAATCATCTGAAGCTTGTAATAGTCTTCATTGGCTAAAGAATACAATAAAAAACCACAATCCAAAACATATTAAAAAAGGGAATTAAACTTTGGGGGAAAAAAGGAGTATACATACATGAATGGGAAATACTGAAAGGAAATTAAGTCTATAGAGCCACATTGATCAGCTTGTTTTTATAGGGACAGCCCACTTAAGTGCCTATTTGAGCTAATAATATGCAATGGAACGCTGAATCACTATCTGGCTTCATATATCTTTTCTGAGGAAAAACTTTTCCCAGTTAGGCTTTCAGATTTGCAATCATCACTACTAGGGATGCACTGATACCGTTTTTTCAGTATCTAGTATGAGTATCAATATTTTGTTTCGGTACCCGCCAATAATGAGTACCGATACCATGTGCCCCGATTATCAGGAAGTCAGGCGGTGGGTCATAACCTGCCACGCGGCTTCCTGATTGCCTGGGAAGCTTGCCAAGGCTACCTGGCTTTCTGACCAATCAGGAAGCCGGGCGGGACATCAAGACCAGGCCTCCCGGCTTCCTGATTGGCTTGGAAGCTGGCTTCACTTGCTGCTAGGCAGCCTGGTTTCCTGACCAATCAAGAAGCCAGGAGGCGGGTTATTATGTGCCCCCCAGCTTCCTGATTGGAAAGGAACCCGGCTTCATGCTCCCTCGGCACTGCCGCTCAGAGGGAGACTCGCCCAAATACTCGGTATCGGTATCTGTGCATCCCTAATCGCTACCCCTGTTTCACCAAGAGGAGTCCCTCTATCATTGCTGTAACATGTATTGAGGATAATGGCCTCTGCCATTGGGTGAAGCTAGAAACTCAAGGACAGACAGCTCACCACTAGGGCTGTTAAAGAAGAACTCTTGGCAAAAGGTATATTAATCCTTGCACTCTAAGGGTTAACTGCTCGTTTTCATCCAGGTGATAAAATAACAAAAAGTTACACTCACCCGATCCGGCTTGCTCCTAGCCCAGTCCTTTCAGCCTTGCATCCCCTCCGCTGCAGCAGTCTAAGGATCCTCGATTCATCATTTCCCATACACTGTGCATTGGATGTGAGGACGCCAAGGGACATAGCATTGCTGTACCCTAAAAGGAGACAGGTTGGAGGGAACGCTGTCACAGCCAGCTGGCTCCGAGGCTCAGGGGAGTACAAGTTTTTTTTATTTTAGCACCTAGAGGAAAAACGAGCAGTTAACCCTTGCAGTGCGGGGGGGGCGTCACTGCAAGGGTTATCAAAAGTTTTGCCCGGAGTTCCTCTTTAGTAGTGATCGCTGGACCTTCACAATGTCATACAGCTTTTTGTCAAGTTGACTTACGATCTCCTGCTATTCAGGTCTATTCATAGACACGAAGAGCTTAGCACATCATCCTCTAGGCTAGCTCATACAAACCCAATTGGATTTCCTGAAAAAGACCTTCAGCAAGAGAGCAGGCAATGCTAGGCTCTTAGCAGAAAGCTTTGCAAGTAAACTGTCGAGGATGCACCTTGCAGGAAAAATTTCTTTTTGAAATAAAGATTACATACCAGTATGAAGATGAAAGCTCAGTTTATAAACATGTAAATAGTAAAAGTCTTATAGTGTTTATAGACTGTGTGCATTACCTTTCACCTGCTGGATGCAGTGCAGAGCATAGCGGAGAGAGGCAGCAGTGCCGGACTTTCCCCGAAACCTCTTTTCAGGAGGGAGGTGAGAGCGAAGCTCTTTCAGTATTTTTAATAATTCCTTTTGGGTCTTGGCTTTAGCTGGCTGCTCACTGCTGCAAAGAGGATACATATGTGCCGATTAGGACTGAAGAGCAATCTGTTGTAAACAAAGTTCAGCACAGAATAACTCGACAAATGTAGCAATCCTCAGATTAGTCATCCCAGGACAGCACACCAGCATGCAAAGCAGGGTGCATTAAGGGCTTGTTCACCCCAGCACCACGCTCAACTGCACAGCTGCTGGTGTGCATGTGCTTGGACAGTGCCAATGCCCTCGATCACGCCGCATCACATGGTTTCTTTTTGTTTTTATTTGTTAGAACCTTCCTGTAATGTCACAAGTGGGCTCACTGTGGTGCGATGCGGATGTACTGCGTCTAACTGCGGTGCGCTTAAAAAAAAAAAAGCCGTACTTTTTTTTTTTGAAGCGCACACTGCCGAAACCATCCATTCGTTTGGGCTGCGCTGGAGAAAACGGCCAGCGCAGCCCGAACACAGATAGTGTGAATGAGCCCTTAAAGGGTTTTTAAAAAAGGGTTTCTAAACCCTCTGTTTTTTTTTGCCTAGCAGTAGAGATAGGCAAAACGTTTTTTTTTTAAAACCCCGCTTTAAAAGAGGTTAAAACTTACCCCATTGTCGCCGCGCTCCCGCCCGAGAATCCGAAACTGCTCGGGCGGCCGCAAAGCATCCTGGGGCGGGCGCATGTGCAGTTCGGATTTTCGGCCAAGAGACGAGAGAGACGCAAGGTAAGTCTATGGACGCGTGCACCCGCATGCAGACACTGTGGGACAGTAAGTAGCAGCAAGTTTAGAGGAGTCGGTGCTGGACGGAGACCCGCTGGAGGGACAGATGAAAACATCAGGAAAGAAGATCGGATTAAGAGACATCATTTAAGGTAAGTGCTAATAACATTGGGGGAGAGAAACATTTTTTTGACTTTAATGTCACTTTAAGTGTATGTAAACCCTTACAAAGAACCTCTCTCGTTTTCTCCCTTTTGGTCTGTTAAATATACCATTGACAGCGTTTAGTTACACCTGTTTGAGAAGTGCAAAAGAATAAAACTTTTGATCAGGTGATTTAAAACTGTCCTGCGTCCTTTGACGCTCCCTGAGATAACACAATTAGTGATGCAATTAGTCCTCCCAGTTCTCATCCTGGACTACAGAACAATTAGTCTCTAAGTTACGGGGAAGGACAGTGGCAGGGATTTAGTAGAACTGTGGGAGAGATTCAGTAGTTTAGCAAAAGACAACTGAGAAGGCTGCAATGTAGTAGTAAATCTGAAGGGGGGCGGGGGGCGGTTAGTGTAAAGGTGTCTGACCACTTCTAGAGATCGGTGATGTGCCTCATGATTTTGTCTTGTAAACTGCCATTTTTATCATTCTACAGATACTCTGCTTTCTGAAAATATAAATATTTTGGGGAATTTTAAGCAATTATTGGGAGAATAAAAAAATAAATAAAAAATTATCTGACAGTTAAAGGGTCAAAAGCATAAAACAGAAATATGCATGTATTGGAGAAATACCCTTTTCTTGAATTCCTCCTGGACATATAGAATGTTGCAGGACAAGCAGGATACAACAGGATACATGTAGACACAGACACTTGGAGAAAATCTCATGTTCTTATGAGAGAATCAAGAACAAAACAGAATGCCCTGTAGCTTACCTGTAGCCACTAGTGGATGGATTATTCTCAGAGTCAGCCATCATTAGAGAGAATGCACTGGAACTGCAGGGAGGGGACTGGAAAGTGGAGCCACTGCAAGCAGAACATAAAAAAAGAAGGAGAAGAGGAGGAAAGAGGTCAATCTTGCAACAATTCCCTCTACATTACAGACAAAACATAACCCGCACAACTAAATAGTCAAGCTGCAGCAGTAGGATGCAGCATAATAATTACCCAAGACAAGTAGACATACTTAATTGTAGAAAGCATTCAGTTCGGGTCATTCAATATACCGTATTTGCCGGCGTATAAGGCGACTGCGCGTATAAGACGACCCCCTACTTTTTCTGTTAAAACATAGGTTTTGGGCTATACTCGTCGTATAAGACGGGTATAGCCCAAAATAATGTTTGAATACACCCTCTAACCTCCATGGCGGTATTCCCCAGTTTGGCTCGGGGTTAATTTTCAGTACCATAAGCAGTAACCCCGAGCCACACTCGGGATTACAGTCTCTTACCTTCTCCACGATCCCCGCTGTGTCCTCCGTGTTCTGGGTTCCGTCCCTTGCGAGCTTCCACGTTGCAGGGGGCCGGAACCGGCGGCAATTTTAAAAGTAAAAAAAAAATAGAACAAAAAACGAAAAAATAAAATCATCAGACCGCCAGGGAGGCTAATCTGTCAGCCCGCTGGATGTGCGGTAATACTGTATGTAGGGTAGCTTCGGCTACATACAGTATACCGCGCTGAGCCAATCACGGCAGGCTTTGTATTCATGAATACAGGCTTTGTATTCATTAATACAAAGCTTGCCGTGATTGACTCAGCGCGGTATACTGTATGCAGCCGAAGCTACCGTACATACAGTATTACCGCACATCCATACTTGGCGTATAAGACGACCCCGATTTTCGGGGGATGTTTTAAAGTCTAAAAATTGTCTTATACGCCGGCAAATACGGTACTCAAAATATAAGTGTGATTTAGAGTATAGATGCTTTAATCCGAAAGCCAATTGAATCCCTTACAATGGATGCTTCTTCTCGAGGTTTCAAACTTTTAGTTTCCTGCAGAATCATCTGGTCCCCTGAGCACTGACCCTGATATCCTGTTTTAGTGTGGCTCCTTTCCCTTGCAGGGTTCTATGGAGCCACCCTGGTGTGCGCTAGACAGCACACACAAAGGGCACCGCTTTACATCAGAACACTGCCCCTATTTGACATCAGAGTTCCCCCTCTACACCAGAAGCCACCTGCACCATGGAGAGGCATGACGCTGTGCGAATATTTCAAAAACCCAGAGGAAGGCAGAAGGCACCCCAGTTGAAAAAGGCTACATTAAAGGAAATCATCTTTACCCATACACATGTCTTTTACCTTTTTAACACAGGTTCCTTTCCATCCAGTTCATTGCCGCTCGAGTCATTGCCTGTCTCCATGTCATCTGGCAAAATGCTGGCAGGATCCTCAGGCTGATGGTGGTTCTGGAGGTCCTTATCTTGAAGTGGTCTTGGAGAATATTGCTGTTGGGGGTCTCCATTCTGGAATGCCATACAGTTTCTATCTGTAGCAGCAGTCCCATGGGTTGTAGAACATCTATTGTTCACATGATCTTCGGTCTTAGAGAGCGATACATTAGCCGTCTCTACCAAGAGAGAGTCCACAAGGCTACCAGATTCCAGCAAGCCAGGCATCAGACTGTGGTGATGACACACGACTGGTAATATACCCCTGTGAGACAGAGTCGCCTTCTCTGAAATGAAGGTGGCTGTTAATGTCAGAGCAGACATGTTGCTGAATAGGTAAGAATCCTGAGGACTGGAGTTGCACTCCAATTGGTAGATCTACTGGTGTCTCAGGAGGAATAGGGTGTCCTGGTAATGGAAGATCTTGTCGGAAATCTTTGCTCTGATTGGGCATCTCATTAAATGAAAGGATTCATCAGGCTGAAGTAATATAAATAAATAAAAACCTGTGTAAGAGAAAGACCAGGTTCAGTAAACCTAAAGGGAAACAGTGCCATGGTACATATCAGGTCTAACTTGTTCTAAAAGTGAGGCAGCCCATGAGACTGAAACATTTATTCTGGTGCTGAATGGAACCCAATAATCAAGAAACTAGGTACTGCTAAAACTGTACATGGTCAGAAGTGGCAATGGCAGCAATCAGTATATTCACCTCCTGTATATCTCCTTCCTCATTTATGCTTCCCAGTGTCTTATTGCAGGCCAATCTTTTCTGTCAACTGTTAACATTAACAATACATTTACGAATATTAAATTTAATATAAAAAAAAAGAGAACTAAAGACAAACTTTTTTTTTTGGCTTTAGTTCTTTTTTTGGGGTCACAGTAATACATTTCCTAATGTACTCTTGTGAACCAAATACAGCATATAGCGCACTACTGCCCACTATAGACTTTAAAAATACTTTTCACTTGGAAAATGAACCGACTACTGCAGGAAACAAACAATGCATTCTAAAGCAACACATTTGATGGTCATTTTATTTCACAAACGTTAAAACATTGGAAGAAAAGGAATAGTACCTGTTGCATGTGCACAAATCTGACACCCAAGAAGTCAGTATTTAGTAACATTTCCTTTGTCACAGATTTGTGCCTTTATTTTAGCCAACTAAGAGTCCTAATTCATGGTGTAGGAGTTTTGCCCACTCTTCCTTGTAGGTTACTTTCAATTCTGATATATTCAGAAACAGTTTAAAGTGACACTAAACTCAGGAGTTAGAACGTAAAAATACATTCAAATACCCGATCTACTAACAAAAATGTATCTTATTTGTGTATCACTCGGCTGTAGATCCTCAAACCATCTCTGAATTGGTGCGGACACTGTCCTTCCTTCTGGAGGGGGGCTGATTTTGTTCCCCGTGGTCCCTGTGTGTGTTGTAAAGTAACCACCGCTCCAAGCTCACTCCTGTGATGGACTATAATCTCAATACAAATTAGTAAATTAAGTGTGACATTGTAGTCCATCACGGGAGCGAGCTTGGAGAGGTGACTACTTTACAAAACACACAGGGACCACGGGGAACAAAAGCAGCCCCCCTCCAGCTTTAGAAATCATATGAGGAAACATTCCATTTTTCTTTTAGTTCAGAAACTATGCAACTCCATAACAGACTACAAATCAATGACAGGTTGACAAGAGCCATAGCAATATTGTGATGCGTCACCTGCACTCCTTACAGCGATTGGACATTGATTAGTGGTCGTGGTGCTCATAGTGATTACAGGGATGGTGCCGTTTTCCAAAGTCATAGAAGACGGAGATCACCAGCACTCAGTCAAAAGCATTCAATTAATTTGCTTATTTATTGTTAAAGGAACATGTCACCAGCGTCAATTAGCCAACGTTTTGGGGCCACGCAGGGTCCCTTCTTCATGGCGACATAGTGATGGCCACTATGTCACCTTGAAGAAGGAGCCATGGCAAGGGACAGCTGAGTGGGCCCTGGAGGCAAACTGCATTCACGGCTGCTTGTCTGTCTTTCCTGTGATTTGTGGTTACATGCGGACAGCCACGGCTCCCGTCAGCCTGTTATTGAGGCTTCCTGATCACAAACACCTGTGACCCCAGCCACAGAAATACGCCGATTACTGGCAGTATATGGCTAAACCTGGCCATGGGAAAAAGGCTTAAAGAGAACAAACTCAAAAGTCAAAGTCAAAAGTACTTGGAAGCATTTAGTTTGAAATGTAGCATGGTCGGCTTCCCCATTTGCTCTGCTCCTGTGTGGTACCTTCTGCTGCCACCCTCAGTACTGCACCCCTTAACTGTGGCCCCTTCTCCCCCAGCTCTGTTCTTCTGTCAGTCTGCTCCCCTAAAGTGCCCTCTATTCCCTGCTTGGAGCAACCTTCCTCCAGTTGTTTTACATCAGGTTGCCCTCTCTTGCTCCCATGTTCTCCCCATCTTCTTCTGTACCCGTTCTGATTCTTCACCCCGAAGTGATTCTGTACATCTACCTCTCTTTGTCCTCTTGGTGTTAGCAATCCATGTTTTAGCACCTCTGCTTTCAGTTTATACTGTCACTGCTTTATTCTTTGCCATATGTAAAAGTGCTGGGTCTTCAAATGCAGATTGCAGTACATGAGGCTGCTATAGGCACATCAATTAATTCAGAACCCCTGCACTGCTCCTGGTTGTCATATTGGAGCCAGACTACTTAGCACACATGAAATGTCACTTGTTAATACGAAGCCCTGATCCTTCCTCTCTTTTGTCACGTCCACAAACTGTTCCTGCTGCCTCCCCTTTTCCACCACCAGGCCAAGATCTGCTCCTGCCCACAACTTTCTTACCCTGCTGTCAGTGTTCTGCTCCTAGTGCTTTCTCTCTTTACTCTGAAGCAGACTCCTCCATGCTACACTTTTTATTCCGATCCCTTCTCACTGTTCATTCAACATCCAGCACCATTAACACTATGCCATGCATTCTCCATCACAAAAATATATGTCCCTCACTACTCTCATCTACCAACTCTTTCTTCCAAATTGCAAACCACAAGCAGACTGTTCTTCTCTGATCTTTGGGTCCAAGCCCTGTACACATTGTTCCTGTAGCTTTTTTTTATTTTAGACCCTAGACCAAAACAAGCAGTTAGCCCCACTGCAAGGGTTCATTTGTTATTTCCCCAGAGTTCTTCTTTAAGTCCTATCATTCCCCTACAGGGAATATTGTTGGGATCCCTCCTGGCTGCGGCGCTCTCAGCATATTGCCAGATATATACAGAGTTTTGGGTCACGGGAGGACGTTAGTATATAACCTTCTGTGACCCAAAAGACAACTATATGGGGGGGGGGGGGGGGGGATCCTTTCACTAAAAAAAATAAAAATAAAAAAAATCAGCATCTGCATGCTGATTTATTTATTACAGGTATTTATATAGAGCCGACAATTTACGCAGCACTTTTACATAGTGTACATTCACATCAGTCTCACATACATGGCCAATTTAGACAGGAGCCAATTAAACCAACCAGCATGTCTTTGGAGTGTGGGAGGAAACCGGAGTGATTTAAAATCAACCTTACATTAATTAAACATATTTCTCATTTACTTACAAATAGAGTTCATCCACTTCCTGCTCCACTTTGGCACAAATGATGCATTGTGACTAAGCTCTGCATCCTGGGAAGGTTACATCAGCAATGCATTGCTGGGAAATCTCACAAGATCTCAGGGAAAGGCATATTCCTCCCCTGAGATGATGTACATGGTCACATGTCCTAGTCACATGTGCCAGAGTTCCAGGAAGTAAAGGGAGATGGAGTAATCTGCCCTTAGTAAAAATGGCCACTGTGAGAAGAATGGGGAGGAAAAGAAAAACAAGGTATGCAAAGAATAAAAGGTCGGCAATTACGTATAAGTATCTGATTGTAGATTGTCATTACTAAACATTTCTAAAGGTGTCTTGTTTAGCATGGATGGGGAATCTAATGATTTATTCAAAAAGTGAATGCCTAGCTTGAAAATATTACCTACTCCCAGGAAAACTCCATTTATAAATAGGAACACATTTGCTAGAAATATACTAAAGGGTGTACCAATACTATACCCGATTAATTAGGAGGATCAAAAGTGCCAGATCTGCAGCTTCTTTATTTCTAATTGATTGAGAGCAAAGTCCATACAACCTGCTGTTGCTACTATACCACACCTTTACTAAAAGGTGCCCATACACCTTACGATTATCGGACGATGATCGAACAGTCGTACAATTTTCGTACTGCACCCCCATCCTGCCCCGATGGATGATCGGAAGATTAATTAACGAAAAGCACCTGGACGAAATGCGGTAATTGATTTGCCGTATTTTCGTTAGCGCAAGCGCAGTGTAGATCGTACGACTTTTGATGGACGGAAACGCCAGAAACCTTGTGAAAATCGTACGATCTAGCAAAGTTTTCAAACATGCTTGACCGTCAAAAGTCGTATGATTGTACGGTACAGTCGGTCGGACACTGCAATGCACACATACGATTATCGGCCGAAAAGTCGATCGCATACGAATATCGTACTATAATCGTAATGCGTATGGGCACCTTAAGACTGGCAAAACTACATCCAGTCCCTGGGGCATGGAAGAGTTACCGGTGATGATCAGATAAAGGGGGCAGTCACTTGAGCTCATCGGTCAGGGAGGCTGCAGGTGATTATTAGTTGGAGGATGGGAAATCTTGAAGGTAATCAATTACTTGCCAGTCTAAAGTGGTTCTTGGTGGGCAGACTAGCCTAACAAGGGCTTGCAAATGCTAACTTTACTTCAATAAACATACCATGTACAGTATCAGGGGTGGACAACTTCATAAGGGATTCAGGAGCCAGTCTGTCCAATCCAGGAGCCAGCAGGATGTTTTTTTTAGGAGCCAGTTCCACTGACAACTAAAGAAAACCTCAAATGTTAAGAGCCAGATGCAATTTTTGTTCAAACTGACTTCATTAAGAACACGCATGCTACATGAAAATGCAAAGCAACACTGGCATGTC